TGTTTTAGACAGCGATTTTCTTTTGTATTAGTGATGCACATAATCTATGTTTGAGTCTCAGATCTTAGGGTGGCGCACAGACATTGGCCCCTTCAGTAGAGGAATGTAAAAGCACCTTTCTAGTAACAAACTTTGCACCTATACAAGTCAGTATACAGTCAAGGTCAGACATATTAGGGCAGTGATTGTCAGCTGGTGGTTCGAGGTCCAAAAGTGGGTTCAGGTTCATTCTGGATAGACTGCAAGTGACTTGTGAATGTGTCAAGTTTGTAAAAAACACACTAGTACAGTGTACAGTACAGTGAATTTCCAGTACAGAGATTTATTTTGAAGTGTTGTTTCCTGCTGTAGAGTGAGTGACTACAGCAATAGTAACATACAGCTACTCGACAGAGCCAGCAAACTAGTACGATTACATGGCCAAAACAAGTATGATGCTAAATACATTAAACTCTGTGGACCTTAAACTAATGACCAAGGAGAAATCTGGACCTCGTGGCTGTGCGTGTTCAGAACCACTGTTTTAGGGGACATAAATGTAAGAACAACACATTTTTGAGTGTAGGGGGACTTTGAGCCAATATTAATAATAATAATTTTTCTTATGTCAAAGTTGTGTTTTCAGCTTGTTCTGCTGCTTCAAAGTAGCAAAAATGGCAAAGTAGCTCTAAGAATGGCCATGTTGGGTGGTTAGTACACTGCTTGGGTCCATACTGAAATATATGGATACAATGTCTTTTGTAATCTTCCATGACAAAGAGAAGAAAACGTTAGTCTGTTCCGAAATGCACGGCAGCAATGATGATGCTCACAGCAGAGTGGAATTTAAAGTAACCACACTGTATAATTTCATAACTTAGGTAGCTACGGCACCAAATGCAAGATGCTGGCAGAGAGTGGGAGCAGTGGGAGGTATCTCGAGTGGTAAGAGGCAAGGGAGCTAATGTGGCTTTCCATTTTGCCTCATCAGCTGGATTTTTGCATTGGATTCAGTGTGCAGGGTTTTTGTGCTTCATAATCTGTATCAGATGACACTTGGTGTTGTCATCAAAATATGAGTATTCAAATGAGCATTTTAATGTAAAAGTCTCATTTTGCCAAACAAACTGTAGATTTTTTTTCCTCTTGACTTTGTGAATTAGTTAATAGATGTTTTTTTTTAAAAAAAAAATGCTGGCCACATAATTCATTTCCATATCTGCAAACTACTGGAGACCATTTTCCCATCACAGAATTAATGAATAGCATTTACAGCTCAAAAGCTGTGTGGAATGGTAGATTAGAGATATGAAGATAACACATTTCCATATATGACATCATATGAACACTGCATAATTTCAGCTGTGGGTGTTACTGCTCACCATTTAATTGCTCAAACCAATCAGAACATGGGTCCTAGCAGGGGCACTGGGACCCATTAGGTTGGGCAGAAAACAATGTCTGAAGCTTAGCTTTATATCCAGCAATATCTGTGTGTGAGTTAACTTCATCCACAGCAATCACATTCAGCTTTTTTTCAATACAGTCTAGATGAATGCATGTTCCATTCAGCCACCATCAATCCTGACTACAAATGCATCTGACAGTGCTGATGCATGACACCTTACTTAAATCATTATTAAAACCAAGAGGCATGAGTGGAACTAATGGAAAGAAAGCTCTGCATACTGGGTTCTCTCACACTGCAGTGTTCATTGTAGTTTAGTGCAGTGTAATGTATGCTCTGTCTCTGTTCATTTACATCAATTATTTCTGAAAAAGACGGTATCAACAGAGTCAGTCCTACCATGTCTTGTTCACAATCCTTTGTTGGATGATCAGCTGCTACAACTGCTACTGCTACATTCTACACCATCTTCTATTCTGGAGAAGGGCCAGTTATTTCTCTGAACTCAAAAGACTCATCCGGGGTGCATGGCTAAGGTTTAATCTGTGACAAAACTTTCTAAGTGCAGAGTCTAAAATATGGATTAACTTCCTAATTGACCTTTATTTAAACATATTTTATTTCAAGAGTCCTTGCCAAAGTGGCAGTGCAATTATGTTCCAAGAACCAAGACCAGCAGCAGAGTGAGAAAATTTAGAAAAAACTTGAAATAATTTAACCTCATTTAAAACTAAAAGTAATTCAAATTTTTTTTTTTTTTCATTTTCACAGCTTGTAAGGCCAAACAGCTGCACTCAACATCTCCCTGACTTTCCTATTAGCTTTGTTGCTCTTGTTAGGACAGGACAAATTACACTTACACTAATACACTATTATCCAGATCAGAATCAGCTTTATTGGCCCGGTATGTGGACACATATAAGGAATCAGACACAGTTTTTTTTTCATTGCTCTAAATGTACTCACACAAAATTGACTGGATGAGTATGTACAGTATGTGCATGTATACATGTCTATATACTTTATACAGTGTGCAGGATTTATAGTGACAGTGACAGTGCACGATAATTACATGTTAAAATACAATGCATTTTAAAATGCAATGCAAAAAAACTAGGCTATAATAGGAGAAGGTGGATGTTTGGTTTTGCAATGACTCATCATTAATATTACAGATTAAGGTAACCTCATTTATTTAGTATAGCCCCGCCCTCCTTCAAACATGAGAGGAAGTCTTATGTGCCAGAGCAACCAAAAACACCTGTGTGTTTATGTATGTGTGTGTGTGTGTGTGTGTGTGTGTGTGTGTGTGTTCTTGAACTTGCTACATTGTAAGGACTACAACATAGCACCAACAAAGGGAGGACATTTTTGGACAGTAAGGACATTTTTGCCAGTCCTCCTTCTTCAAAGGCCTAAGGGTTGCGACTTGGTCTTAACGTTCAGGTTAGAATGGGATTTAGGTTAGGGTTAGGATAAGCTTTGGGGATGGGCATTTAGTTGTAAAGTTATGGTTAGGGGTGGATAGAAATGCATTATGTCAGTGAGGTATATATATATATATGTGTGTGTGTGTGTGTGTGTGTGTGTGTGTGTGTGTGTGTATGTGCATTAAAGTTTGTCAGTGTTAGAACATTGTTATATGTCTTCCTTAAAACAGATTAGCAGAACTACATAGGAGAATATATGGCTAATGAAGGTGGAGAATTAGCTCAAATACATTTGCTGAATTTTAATTGGCTAAATCAGGGGTCTTCAGTGTTTTTCAGGCAAAGGACCCCTTAGCTAAAAGAGAGACAGAACAGGGAATCCCTACTAAAATTACCTACAATAACATGTAAGGCATCCTAAAGATGGTAAATATGATACTGAGCTACTGAAATAATGATTATTGGCAGATCCATATATTTATGTATCCTGTTTTTTTCTAGGTGGACGATTTTTCATAGTCTCTTGCTCTAAAAGCTACAAAACAATCCACTGTAACTCACAAGTCTCTCCTTTCACCTGAAATAATAATACAGCTACTTGACCAATATGTTTCAGTAATACATAACTGTTAGCTAACAACAGTAGTTCACCTTAGCCAACATGATTGCGCAAGGATCATCTATGTTGTGTACTGTAAATTAAATGTTTTTTGTTTGTTTTCTACTAATAATCGATTTATCTTTACCAACAATATGTTGGATTCAACGTAATGTGTATTTTTTTTAGATATATTTTAATTTTTGAAAAAACAGAAGAAAACATAAATCAAAACTTAAATTATCAAACAATAATTTGGCAGTCCCCCTGCAGTAACTCTGAGGGCCCTGTAGGGTTCACAGACCCCTGTTGAAGACCTAGGAGCTAAATTAAAATGTTTATCTGATCAGTTTAATAATTGTTTGTTGAAATGAATTGCCCTTTTCAAGTAACTTCATATAATTAATTTAGTTCACATTTAAAATTAGCCATATTATGAACTCTGCAGCTAGCTCTAATAGCCTTATAACAGTTTTTGTGTTAAATCATACATTTGAGTGTTTCAGTTAATGACCAGCTTGTTTAATTTGTGTTGTTTTATTTGTGTTCCATAAGGTTATTGAACTGTAGTGAGGTATGTTATTTTTTGTTGTTATTCAGATCATCTGCTGGGTCAGTGATAGTGAAAACAGGTATGCACCATTAGGTGCTCTAATGACTGAGTGACTGGGCACTGTGGAAGGAAGGGTGAAACTGCTGTACTGTAAATGACGTTGAGTTAAAGTAACTGCAATCGTGTGTGTGCATGTGGGCACAGAAAAACTGTGATTGTCAACAATAACATATGAATGTCAAATTAACATTGTGTTTTCTTTTTAAGCTTGGTATCGGTCAACCTGTACTTACCTAAGCAGATGATAGCTGTAATTTACAATGAGTAAAAGGCCATTGAATGGATAATGGGCTATGTAAAGCTATGGGATATTACTTGTTTTCAATGACATTTATTGAACATTGGGATTGAGTTTAAGCCTCTGCCTCATTAACTTCAGAACAAATAAACTCCATCTTTATCTGCATTGCTTACATTTCTTTTATTAGCATCCCTTTTAAAGTTTTCCAGTGCAAATTTAAAATCATCCGGCCTGTCTCCCTGCTTTGGTTGCGCTACATTCTGTGAATTTTACATTCAGCTTGTACATCTACACCATCAATTAGGCAATTATGCATGCACCCAGTCAAGTGTCCACCCAATCACAGAGGTCAGGCAAACTACTGAAGATGCTGGTGTCGCTTGGAGATGATATGCAAATGTGTACGAGGGGGCATTTGTACAATTAAATTAGAAATTGTGATGCTTTTGGTGATGGGACCCCAAGGGCATTCTGGGTGCATGTCCTGTTGGCAATCTATGCCCAGCCATTACAGAGCCATTTGGACAGTTTATCGATCAATTACAGTAAAAGGGTCAACAGCATTAAAACGCACGACAACCACACACAGTCAATGTTCAGTGTTGTATCTACAAACCCCTCGTGATTGATCATATGTGAGACACAAGGAGCGTTTGTTTTCACCACTGTGGGAGCCCGCTGGTGTATCACCCCCCCCCCTCACTCACTCACTCCGCTGCTCTCTCATCCGCCGGGCTGAGACACCGAAGCAGCCTGCGAGAGAAACAGCGAGGAGGGGAGAGGAAACGGAGCGACGGAGATGGCGAACATCAACATGGGGCCGAGACCGCTGCTGCTTCTGGGGCTCGCGTGGCTCCTTCTGGCCGTCTTAGCGCCAAATGTCCGGTGTCTAAACGGCGACGAGGACCAGAGCCAGGACACCGAGTGCAAGATGAAGAGCGTCACCGTGTCGGCGCTGCCGTTTTTGAGGGAAAACGACCTGAGCATCATGCACAGCCCGTCGGCCTCCGAGCCCAAGCTGCTGTTCTCCGTTAGAAACGATTTTCCCGGAGACGTCGTGGTGGTGGACGACCTGGAGAACACCGAGCTCCCCTTTTTCGTCTTAGGTGAGTCTGTGAAACACCGACGGTCTCCGCGGTTCATTAGCCGCTAATTGAGCGGATTAAAACCCCCTCACTCTTTACTATTACACCGGAACATCTGTCTATTAGCTTAGGCCTGGCTCCATACCATGTTTTCACTGCTTTGAAAAACACTATACTATATATAAGACAACCACAGTGACTAACTAGCACAGTTAGCTGCGTTTATTTGTCATAATCAGTCCGCCAATGCTTGATAATTGATTTAGCGCCTGTTATTGATAACATTGGCGGGCTAAACTAACACTTAGCACTTATAATTGCAATAATAGGCCGCATAGCATCCTCATGCTAACAACAGTGTAGTTTTTCCTCAATTTCACTCATGTCCAGCATTAATAGGCTACATGTGTAAAAGCAGCGTCGCCTTCATGCTTTGTATATTCTCCCTAATGTTAGCTTACACACGTGGCGCCGTTAGCTACATGCGTAGGGAACTACTTGATAGTTTTCAGACTAGCAAGTATGCCGCCAAACTACTCTCACTTTACTACAACTTTTAACCTCATCTCTTTCTGCTGTTATGTGGTCGCTTTGTGCTCTCAGTGTCATGTATGTTCTGCAGCTGATAAAAAGGCGACATTTCACGCTCTTGTGTTGGGTTTTTGGGCTTTAGAAAGCCAACACTGTTAAGTTTAGAGCAAACCAAGTCCATACTGACTGGACATTTTGCTAAACGTGGATAACAGAGAGTTTGGCAGAGAGCAGTAAAAGTTTGCATTGTGGAAGTTAGCTGGCCGCTGTCCATGGTGCTGATCAGCCTCTGCTGCTGCTGCTGCTGCTGCTGCTGCCATGAGCATGTTCCTCTGCTACTGGGAGCACTGAAGCTCACTGCGTGGCTCTGTGTGCTTTTCAGTGTAACATTTATACACCAAGTTTTGCCAGCTTTGTGTTTTGGATGTTTATGTGAATGTTTAGTGTTGTTACTGATGGCTCTGGGCCTGATTGTACAACTATGTAGTGTTCTACCAGCCCAAGTCAGCAATCAACAGGGTAGAAGTAAAAAGCATGGCGAGTATGTGAACGTGTGTGTTTTGGCTGTTAGATCTACAGAGCTGTTTTATCTCTTTGTTGTCACTTTTCGGAGCAGTTGCTGTTTGAATTGTCTTGTCATACATACATTTCCATGGATACTTTATTTTCCTGCCTGCAGTGCCTTTATATTTGTGTCAGATGTGTATATGCAGTTTTCACCTCGTGGCTGAGGAGATAGGCTGCAGTTTGTCACTTACTGTATGCCCAACCCTACACATAAGCATTATTTCAAGGTAGTCAGTTGCTTGTAATCAGGAGCATAGATGGCACACATGATCTGCAGACTTTCTCATGAATAACATATCATATCGCTGTTTAATCTGTGTAGAATTTTTGAGTTTTCTCAAGTATATTGGGGGACATTTTTTTTTATCTTTGTCAGCACACAGTTAGAGGCTGACAGGAAATGAGAAGAGAGAGAGATAGGGGGATGATGTGGAAAAGAAAGGTCTCTGGCTGGATTTGAACTGATTACATGTCCAGCATCTTAATCCCGAAGACCACCAGGACAACCATGGACATATGACTCTTCAGCAGGCATACAGTATTAGGAATTTAATACTTTAATTCTTACAGTATTCAGGATTCAGAAGAGATCATTTCTAACTGGTTTAGCTTAAAATCAGCCACATTTAGGGTTTTATCCAACCTCACCAGCTACAACAACACATGATGCAAACTACAGCATTACTTCCGGATATAATTCCAAATGAACATTCAGCAAGGAACCGATGGTGGATCATCAGAGCAGCTAGTTATGGATGACAATTTGTCAACCCATGTAAAGCCTTAATGTACAGAAAACTGAAAATTATTTTAAAGCATCACTTACCCTTGTAGGACACAAATTGGACTGGTACTGCAGGTTTTTAGCATCCAATTTGATGCCTGAGTTTGTACCAAAAGGAAACTATTTTATGCATAACCTAGTTTTGTGGTCTATAAACATGTTTTCACCCATTATTTTTAATTAGCGAAATATGCTAACTGCTCACTACATAGACACACAACAACAAACAAGTGATTTAATTAACGTAAAGTAATGATAGCTGATATGAGCTGCTACCTGCTACCTGTTTGTCACTTTAACTGGCAAAAGTGATGTTGACTGGTCCTTTGGGCCGCACTCAGTGTCTGAACTCACTAATGCTCCCAAAAATGTTCACACTTCAATTTTCACTCTGATATGCAGTGAAATACTCACAAATGCTCAACTTTTGGGCTGTTTACACATAGATAAAATGTAAAACCAAAAGGACAAACAAATCATATGAAAAACAGACATTTTGCCACGGTTAATCCTTCAAACCAGAAGAGTGCTCCTGCGCCGTCACTAACAGAAAAGCCTACAAGAAAGCCTTCCTTTGCATGTCACTGTTTATGCAAGCTTGTTTATTATTCGGATACTTTTGCAATATAGTGTTATAGAATTTTTTGGTGGCATGTTGTGTCAAATGTACATTCATGATGACAGTATTAGCTCAAGGAAATGTTCGGCTCCTGGTCCTGTTGCTTTCTGAAAATGTGACACCTTGAACAGTATAGTTGAATAGCACTGCTGTGTTGTAAAGGAGAGCAGCACTGCAACACGAGCAGGCTGAGGACAAAACTCCTACAGTACAGTGATAAAAGGATCAGTCTGATTTCCAGAAATGCCTGAATCAGCGTGATACTGAACCTTAGCTACTGAACCCAAGCTACTTGGGACATCTCTAATTATTTTCATTTTAAGTTTGTCAGTTCATGTAGTCATTGTTTAGACTGAAAAATACTAACAAATCGTTGTCACAGTATCTTAGATTCCAAGATGAGGTCTTCTGATTGCTTATTTAATGTGACCAAAAGTCTAAAACTCAGAGATATGCAGTTGCCAATGTAAAGCCAATGTAAAACAAAGACAAGCAGCAAATCTCACATTTTAGATGCGGTAACGAGCAAAGTGTTGGCCTTTCTGTTTGACAAATGACTTAACTGAAAGTTTTGATACTTGACGCTAAAGACACATTTAGTTTGGTACTTGAGAAGTATTGAGGTTCCATACCCAGCTCTAGACAGGAGAAACTGTCAGACTTCAAAGCAAGAAAAGAGAAAGTCCTGGCAGAATTTGACATCAGTGTTTCTCTTTTACTGGGAGGAAGAAGAATCACTTATTATGTGTCTTGCAAACATGAATTACTTTTCCTGCCACTGTCACAACAGATACATTCCGTTGCAGTTGTCAGAACTTTAGAAAGCACTGCAGTATGTATAAAATAATCTCAGTCCCTATTTTAATTAACATACATATGGATTTTGGGAATAGTCCTATGATGGCCCCTAATGATGTTTGCAGTATTATCAAGTGTTTACGCCATGGCGCTGTGGTGACTAGTTAGAATAGTTCATTTAACGGTCTAATTTAGACAACAGTTAATTCATTATTGGGTGGAGGGAAATAAGCTAAGGCAAATGCACAGCACAACAGATCTCTCAGGACTGGTGTTGCATATTAATGAGTCTGAATTTGTAGCTGACATTTCCTTACGTAGCGTTCTACTCCGGGACGGAAAACTTTTAATGAAATTTCACACTGGGGAGCCCAACACAATTTCGCATTCGTAGCGTGCAAATAGCATCACTGCTATTCAACTATAAACGCTGGAGCAGCTGCAGCCCCTTTTTTATTTATTTGTTTATTTTTCTTTTGTTTGTTGCTTGATTTTCTTTGCTGTCTGACAAAACCTCTGTTGTGAAATAAAGGGGTGCCAGCTCTGAATTACAAACCAGAACTTTCACTTATTGCATATACCGTATGTCCTCTCAGAAAATCAATTTACGTTAACATTGTGCTGCTGTATTGATAACAAGCAGTAATTACATTTAAACCAGTGTTCCAGCAGCACTGTGATAAGATGACTGCTGAATGCTGTTTGTGTAAGCACAAAACTCTTCCTAGCTGGTGTTAAGGATCCAGTTGTTGTCGTTGTCTCACACTGGCTCTCTCCATGGCTGTTTGAGTCTGCCATAGCCTCGTTATGATTAATGTCGTACGTGGTGCCTCTCAGCATATTTCTGTCTCTTCACCAGTATACCTGGTGTGTGGGACATCATCCCACTTGCTGGCATTAACACATATTGTAGGCCAACTCAGCAGCAATAATGAGCAAATATAGCAGCAGCACAGCTTTCTTTTAAGTAACACAGATGATCTGATTAGATTAGGTTGAAGCACTTTACTGTATCTGGTTGCAGCTTCATGAGGTAAATTGGCAAGACATTACTTAGGTTTAAAGGCCTTACTGGATACAGCACAGATCTGTATTTTGTTGAAGTTGTTGCCAAGTGTCTGACAGGTTAAGAAACATGATGTTGAACTGAATTGGTATTTCACCCAAAATTGGTCATTTTAGTAGTTAATACCTACCCTGTTCGATAGGGGTGCAATGGTGCATGTATGTATCCTGAACTGTTTGGTACAGGTCATTCAAAGTTGTCCCTGACTTGTTTTAGTTTGGTATGCCCCTTGAACAAAGTAATTACTATACAGTCCTGTGGTTGTTATCCAATCTAAACCTCGAGTGTGGCATTTTGCCCGTCGCGATCTTGGTTATTTGGAGCCAGAAGTGACCATATTTCAATGAGAAAATTTACGACCCGTACTCTTGTCATGAATGCTGAAATGAGCTACAGAGACAAAAACTGTTTTTTGTACTAGGCTTTAAACATGTTCATTTCTGCTGTGAAGTTGGGCATTTTAACACAGGCGTCTATGGGGATTGACTCACTTCTGGAGCCAGCCTCAAGTGACCAGTAGAGGAACTGCAGTTTTTGGCACTTCTGCATTGGCTTCATTTTTAGCATCAGAGGTTGCAGCTTTGTCCAGTGATAACTGCTAGCTAAACCATGCAGGTTACACAATGGAAGGTGCTCCCATATCATTGAGATCCCCC